AGTAGAGCTAATAACGTCGGTAAAAAGATTAGGGGAGTAATAAAAAAAACAAATTGCAAAAGTGATCAGAAAGAATGCGAAGCTTAACCTCCTTCATACATACAGAAAATGGTGAAAGCAGGAAAATTCAAATGTACAACTCACAAAAACCAGGAAGAAAAACAACCATTATTTCAATAAATAAAAGGCATTGTGAAGAATAACAACAATGAAGAGAGGAGATACAAAATAAAGACAGCCTTAAAGTAAGTGTGTGTGCATCAAGAACAAAATCAGAAATGGAGTTATCAGCATAAGTAAATTTAGTAGAGATGAATGGCCGGAAAGTGGCACGATAGAGAGTATAGTGTTACATGTACCGGCAAGATACGCTCCTCCCATCTAATAAGTCATTCTCCAACTTGTATTTAGACTAGAAGCCCCCATAGTCTTGTTTGGTTACACTTATGAGGAGCCAAGAAGCCAGGATTTTATGTTGTTTCCGTAACAAGTTGGGTAGAGGGAAAGACGAAGCCTTGCCTGAGAAGACAAGATGGCTGACCCACCCAGATCCAGCAAAGGTCAGTTCCCGCCGAAAGGAAACTACATGTTAGGACATTTAGTCTCCCGGATGTAGAGATGGTCATTGGCTGGGCGTGAAGGTGTGACCATTGGCAGAACGCCCTAACGTGACGTGACGTAGCCACCTAGAGCGGGAACGGGGTTGCTGCCCCAGGTGTCACTACGTTCTGGGTCATGGAATGAACGAGTCGCACAGCTCGTCACTCCAGCGAGAGTGGAGTGGGTCTGACCAGCGAGGTGGACGTCTAGACTGCTGGTAATTGAGGTCGAGGACAAAGGAGACACCGAGAAACTATCCGAAAATAATTTGGGAGTGTTGAAGCCGCGAGAAGCTGGCAAGAGACACACCGACACACGTTGGTCTACCTGTCATCCAGGAAAGCACTGTTGGGAGGTCCGAGGAAGGACCTGCCAGCTGCCTCTTCGTTTGGAGCGACGTGAAGAAGACATAAATAGTTCTGGTCAACGTTCTTCTGACAGCAAGGAAACCCTGGTGAGGAGTGACCACCATGTACAGCACCCTGCTACGTGGGAGGCGGTGGGGGACCAATCGGAGTAGTGTGGGGAGCGACAAGAATCTGGGGCCGGCTCTCAAGGAAACTCATCACGTCAGGTAAACTTCAGTAAAAAAGAGGTTAATACTTGTTGGAGCAGAGAGGTACCGCCTGTGGTCGTCAGTGAGGCCAGCAGTCATCGAATTCATGGAGGGAACTGAACAAAGAGGTCTACCAAGAGATACCACTGTGGTACATCTCAGACCACAGTTCACTGTGGAGAACTGTTAGAAGGATGAGAGGAAGTGATGAAGGTAAAACCAGGTTGAGCGTCAACCATCGGTTCCTGAACAGGTACACAGTAGTAAAATCTTGCAGATTAAAAGTTGAAGTTCATTAGAATTTGCAAAAAAGTGTCGTATATTTCTTTGATAAACAGCTATAACAAGAAAGATTAAAAAATTATTGAACAAAAATGGGAACTAAGGACAAATGCGCAGGAAACCAGTGGTAACATATGACAGGTTCGATGAATTCAAGGTTTCCTGGCATTGGTAAATAACAAATATATTATGATTCAGAAGGGTCAAGGAAGGGAGTTTAGGCATGCAATCAGATGCAGATGATTTATAAGTTGGAGGCAGAGAAGGTAGCTCCAGTACGAGAACATTGGCAGTCTCTGGAGTGAGGACAACAGCAGATTAAAGAACGAGAATATCAGACTCAGGATCGAAGACGGACGCGACTTCATGGTCAGGAGCCAAACCCTTCTTTCCTTTTTGGAAGGAAGAGACCAAGGCAACCCATTACCCTTCTGGTCAGGAGAGTGGGGCATAAAGTAGAAAGCGGCAGATGGCATCAGTGTAGCGCTCGATGTCAACAGCAGTCTCATCCAGAGACGAATGTCTGCGCCCACTGGGATGGTAGTGGACATTAGCAGCGACCGTAAGGTAGGGGAGGGCCAACAGGCAGAGAAGAGGATGAAGGTAGCGAGTGAAAATTATGTCTGGAAGAGCCCAAAACTGACAATGGATGGGCTGAAGAACAGGAACCAGGATCGTGCATAGATAACAAAGAGAGAAGGAAAGACAAGGAGAGGTGTGAAAATGGCCAGTAGGGTCAAAACATGTTCCATGCAGTAGGTTGTAGTCTACTGTAAAGTGAAGGCAAGACCCATGAGGTGGACGACTTTAAAATGGTTGCAGAGCTGGAGAAATTCCTTACCGGGCAACGCAAGCATAAGAGAGGTCTTTGAGGAACCTTAGACGTTTTAGTTGGTGCCTAATCTCAAAGATGGGGATGTTATCCTCTTTCTTTAGGATGAGAATTAACTGACCTGCAAGAAAACACAGCTGAATGAAAAATGACAAGTTGGATAAGAAGATCCATTCAAACAAGAGATATCGCACTAATGATGATACTTTTCAAAGCGTTAGTGCTCACTTGTGTAGAATACTGTTGTACAATAACTGCCCCTTTCAACGCTGGAGAAATTCCAGAACTGGAGAGTATACAGAGATCCTTTACTGTTAGAATCCACTCAATAAATCATGTAAACTACTGGGACCGACTCAAAAGCTTAAATCTGTATTCTCTAGAGTGCAGATGGGTGAGATACGTAATAATTTACACGTGAAAAATATTAGAGGGGCTGGTCACAAACTTGCACACAGAAATAACACCACAAGAGACCATAAGGCATGGCAGGATGTGCAGAATACCCCCGTTGAAAAACAGAGTTGTAATACGTACTCTGAGAGTGAACTATCAATATCAGAAGCCCCGAGACAGTTCAACACGCTTCAAGTACACATAATGGGCATAATTGGCTTACCACTCACAGTGTTCAAAAGTGAACTCGATATACACCTCAAAAGGATACCTAATCAACCAGGCCGTCAGGCCGCAAGCAGCCACGTCCAACAACCTGGTTGACTAGTCCAGCAACCAGGAGGCCTGGTCATAGCCGGGGCATCGGGGACCTTGACCTCTGGAAGGTAACCAGAAAGTGTGGACCCACCTTGTAGTGAGCGCATGATGGTGAACACGGGGTGGGCACCACTGCAATTAAAGCAGCGAACCGACTAGGTCGCGGGAGTAAAAGTGATATGAAATGGTTGGACTCTGGGGCCATGGGCTACAGCCTACAAGTACAAAATATCATTCACTCAAACTAAAGTCAAACGTTTTCTAGTGCATAGGAGCTCCCTCTCATATGACTGGTATGAGCCAGTCTAGCATATGCTAGACTAGCCAACATAAGAACTGCCTTTAGAAACTTGTGTAAGGAATCGTTCAGGACCCTGTATACAACTTACGTCAGACCAATCCTGAAATATGCAGCTCCAGCTTGGAGTCCATACCTAGTTAAACATAAAACAAAGTTAGAGAAGATTCAGCGGTATGTCACCAAGCTCGTCCCGGAACTGAGAGTTATGAGCTACGAGGAAAGGTTAAAGGAGCTGAACCTCCCGTCCCTGGAAAACAGAAGAGTAAGGGGAAACATGATAACCACCTACAAAATTCTCAGGGGAATTGACAGGGTGGACAAAGACAAACTCTTCAGCACGGGTGGGACACGAACAAGGCGACAGAGGTGGAAACTTAGTACCCAGATGAGCCACAGAGACGTTAGAAAGAATTTTTTCAGTCTCAGAGTAGTTAATAAATGGAATGCACTAGGCAGTGATGTGGTGGAGGCTGACTCCATACACAGTTTCAAATGTAGATATGATAGAGCCTAATAAGCTCAGGAATCTGTACACCAGTTGGTTGACAGTTGAGAGGCGTGACCAAAGAGACAAAGCTCAACCCCCGCAAGCACAATCAGGTGAGTACAATGTCAATGCAACACCACTGAGAAGTAAGCTTTTCTGAAATCTTTATGTATAACATCGAAATCTTTAACTATGTCTATCAATTCGAGAGTGTATAAAAGATAGTAACTCTATAAACTTGATTATTCATATGTAAAGATGTGTTGGGAGTCATTTATTAAAACGTATTTTTAAAGCATGTAAATAGGATTTCCATAAAATATATATTTTTTGTCAACAATAGACATTAAAATGTGTGATACCAACTTTATGATCTAGCCATCATAAAGATGGCCATAGACTCACAACCCTTCCCAATTTCAGAACAATGTCCAACTCTAACGATTTATTGAGTATTCTTGGAAAGGGTTGACCAAAGTCTTCCTAACATTCATTTAGAATCCTGAAAAATGCTTTTATGACCATAAATTTGGTATTAATTTCGGTACTTGCTGTACATAACTTCTTCCCTATAAAAAAATAACTTTCATAACGTTTTCAGAACTTCAATAATTGTTGCAAACTTTAGGAACATTATTCTTCTTCTGTAGTAATGACCGGGATACAATACCTATTTAAAATGTCATTCAGTTATTCATCATTCTGTTATCCTCACTGTTCTCACTGACCTGATCCTGATCTCTCTCTAACAACTGATACACCTGGTTGAAATGTCTGGACTTTGTTATTCCCATGATATGTGAAACTCCAAATTTTACTTATTACTTTACTAATAATACTTTTTGTTAGATTTTTCAGATAACTTTTCCTCTTTAAATTGCTTATATGTGAGCAACATAAATTTTCAATAAATTTTAAAACTTTATTCACGTGTCATTCATTTAGTGTCAATATCATTAACCTCAGCATTTTAATTGTAATATATTTAGGAGCTATAAGCATAATTTCATTAGATGCTTTATGAAATCATAAAACATTAAGAATAGGCCTACAAAATGTTTTGGTGGCATATACTTAAATTCTATTATAGGCTATTAAATATTAAACGTTTCGTATTTCGTTCTTATTAAGAAGTAATTAACCTGAAATATCTTGAATATGTAAGAAAGAGATTAGAAAGAAAGAAATAAACTTTAATTTTTTGTTATCACAGACATGATGAACTTGCCTTGAGTCTTGGCGGAGGCGAGTGAGCTTTCAGGACTTTGAGCCCGGCGCCCGTTCGGGAGGGGCAAGAAGGCCATCACAGAGAAGGTGTAGTCCGTGCCTGGGGCCAGGCCGCCCACTCTCACGGACGTTCCCCGAGACACCTGGTCCTTAGCAAACGCTCCTCCAGTATAGTAAACCTTCACTAGGAACTCCATAGCGCCCCCAGGACCGTCATGCTGTAAATATATGTTTAGGCTAATATTGATAGTAATATGAACAAGTATACAGATTACATTAATCATATATTATCAGTTATATTAGTACCTGTAAGAAATAATTTCCAGCATCATCTTCATCATCTCAGCATCATCATAACCGAAACTTTCTGGCTAGTTCTTCTGATCAATAAAAATTCATTATCGATATTCACTCGCAGCTCAGTTTACCATCATTCCATGGATTTCCAAAAATGCTGGTTACCCTACAGATTCTCAAATTAATGCCGTATAGAAATTGCAAACTATTAATGTGATGCATAAGTGTGCCACAATTGCACCAATCGCATTGAAAAAGGAACACAAATATCTTTTTTTAATTCTGTTGCCTCAAGTTCCCAATAATTCTTTAATTATTATAGAACTGGCAAATATTTTTAGAAAACGAAAATATCGGTTAAATTTAATACAAAGTGCTGACATTGATGCAGAAAAAATTTAGAGCTGGTCTATAGTACAATAATAATTACATCGAGTAAAAGATCATTATACGAATAGTTCGATTTGCACTGAATTGCACCTCCACTGAATTGTAATGTTTATCCCTCTTATAATGTCTTGATTCCTACGAAAGTACTTACAAATTTCAGGTTTAATTTTCCTTTGTGGTTAAAAATAAGTACATTATTCATAGTGTTAATTTCTTCGTGATTTACACACACACACACACACACACACACACACACACACACACACACACACACACACACACACACACACACACACACACACACACACACACACACACACACTCACATTGGGAATCAAGGAATCCCCATGGAGGGGACGAAACGTGGGGAGCAAAATTAGTAGATGTTATAGACAGGAATTTCCTAACACAACATGTGAAGGAAGACACAAGGGAAAGAAGAGGAGATGCACCGAGCCTATTAGACCTGATTTTCACCCAGAACGTAGAAGATATCGAGAATTTAGAGCATAAAATACCTCTAGGGGCTAGTGACCATTGTGTCTAGTCTTTGACTACATGATGGAATTCAAACTTATGACCATGGGACAAGAGATCTCGGAAAGGAGAGTTGACTACAGGAAAGGGGACTATAAGAGGATAAGGGACTATCTGGGTGAAGTGCAGTGGGAGGAAGAAATTACAGGAAAAACAGTCCAAGATATGATGGACCTAGTCATACAGAAATGCCAGGAGGCCGAAGAGAGATTTATACCAACAGTAAAGGGAAAAAATAAGAAGGAATATAATAACCCATGGTTTAATAGACAGTGTCAGGAAGCAAAAATGGCCAGCAGGCGGGAGTGGAGGAAGTACAGAAGACAAAGAACAGAGGACAACAGGATCAGATACAACAGAGCTAGGAACGATTACATTAACATAAGACGAACATCGGAAAGGGACTATGAGAACGATATTGCAATCAAAGCGAAAAAACAACCTAAGTTACTACACAGTCATATCAGAAGAAAAATGTCGGTGAACGACCAAGTGACAAGACTAAGGAAGACAGAGGGGGCATATACTGAAAGTGACAAGGAAATCTGCGAGGCACTGAATGCCAGTTTCCATGGAGTGTTCACTACCGAGCCTGAGCAGCTCCCATTGTTGGAAGGGGTTACCTTAGATGAAAGACTATCAGATATAGAGGTGACAGCAGAGGAGGTAATGAAACAGTTGACAACTCTAGATGCAACTAAAGCAGTTGGACCAGACAAAGTATCACCGTGGATACTAAAAGAAGCAGCGCAGGCCCTCAGCGTGCCTCTGGCAATGATCTTTAATGAGTCACTTATGTCGGGAGAATTGCCCAGTTGCTGGAAGAAGGCAAATGTTGTGCCGATCTTCAAGAAAAGCGATAGGGAGGAGCCACTTAACTATAGACCTGTATCACTGACAAGCATCCCCTGTAAAATACTGGAAAGAATAATTAGGCTACGACTGGTTGCACACCTGGAGAACATTAGGTTTGTGAACAAACATCAACATGGGTTCTGGACAGGGAAATCGTGCCTAACAAACCTTCTGGAATTCTATGATAAAACAACGAGGACAAGACAGGACAGAGATGGTTGGGCAGACTGCATATTTCTGGACTGCCTTTGATACAGTACCGCACATGAGACTGCTGTTCAAGCTCGAGAGGCAGGCGGGGGTGGAGGGAAAGGGCCTAGCATGGATAAGGAACTACCTAACAGGAAGGAGCCAAAGAGTTACGGTAAGGGGCGAGAAGTCGGACTGGCGAACAGTAACAAGTGGAGTACCACAAGGATCGGTGCTGGGACCAATTCTATTTCTTGTATATGTTAACGACATGTTTACAGGCGTAGAGTCCTACATGTCGATGTTTGCTGATGACGCAAAGTTGATGAGAAGAGTTGTGACAGATGAGGATTGCAGGATCCTCCAAGAGGACCTGAACAGGTTGCAGAGATGGTCAGAGAAATGGCTACTGGAATTCAACACGAGCAAATGTAAAGTTATGGAAATGGGACTAGGAGATAGGAGACCAAAGGGACAGTACACAATAAAGGGGAACAGCCTACCTGTGACGACGCACGAAAGAGACATGGGCGTGGACATAACACCTAATCTATCTCCTGAGGCACATATAAATAGGATAACGACAGCAGCGTACTCTACACTGGCAAAATTTAGAACATCATTCAGAAACCTAAGTAAGGAGGCATTTAGGGCGCTTTACACTGCCTACGTGAGGCCAGTCTTAGAGTATGCCGCCTCATCATGGAGTCCCCATCTGAAGAAGCATATAATGAAACTGGAAAAGGTTCAGAGGTTTGCAACGAGACTCGTCGCAGAGCTACGAGGGATGGGGTATGAGGAGCGTCTGAGGGAACTGTGCCTTACGACACTAGAAAGAAGAAGGGAGAGGGGGGACTTGATAGGAATGTATAAAATACTCAGAGGGATTGACAGAGGGCACATAGACGAAATGTTCACACGGAATAGTAACAGAATGAGGGGACATGGATGGAAGCTTGAAACTCAGATGAGTCACAGAGATGTTAGGAAGTTTTCTTTTAGCGTGAGAGTAGTGGGAAAATGGAATGCACTTCAGGAACAGGTTGTGGAAGCAAATACTATTCATAATTTTAAAGCCAGGTATGATAGGGAAATGGGACAGGAGTCATTGCTGTAAACAACCGATGCTCGAAAGGCGGGATCCAAGAGTCAATGCTCGATCCTGCAGACACAACTAGGTGAGTACACACACACACACACACACACACACACACACACACACACACACACACACACACACACACACACACACACACACACACACACACACACACACACACACACACACACACACACATATTGATACTATGCAGTTTCTAAACAAAAACTGAGAGGCTTAAATTTTTTACATATGTAACAAATTAACATTTAATTCTCTCAAATAACTGGCACTTTAGATTTGAACCATTCTAACGCATTATATAAAAGCATAGCTGAATGGTCATTTTTCATCAATGACATTCTGCTTATTATCTTTGAAGATATGGCGACTAAGATTTAAACACTAACCTGCCATTCTAGGTCAACGTAATCACGTCCAGCTGACACTACCCTCAGGCTGCTCGGTGCCGTCAGCAGATCTGTGGTGTGTTCACGGAACACAAGAATGGTAAGTACATGATTCTTTACAGTTCTTCAATAAATATACTAATATTATCTGAAGTGCACGTGTGATCATGATAGTGTGTTGTCCATGAACTGTTTTTGGTGGAATAATAATGTAAATGAAGTAGATAAGTCAGTAAAGCACGGATAAGTTTATAACTATCATAACCTTTAGGAGCAAACATTTTAAAAGGGAATTCTCTCATCATTTAATTCTTCCCTAATCCTTATATCTTTCTCCTAATTCTTTCTCAATGATAACATTATCCCCCCCCTCCTAAAAAATGATTTAAAACTACTTATTTAAATGCCTGGAGTCCTTTGATTGTTTCAAGCGTGGGCTGGACATGTATATGAGTGGGATTGGTTGGTAATAAATAGAAGCTGCCTCGAATGGGCCAATAGGCCTTCCGAAGTTAACTTTATTCTTAGGTGCTTATGTTCTTATTCCCCTCTCTTGGATACTACCCACTACCCATCAACCCACCTCTTGAACACTACCACCTACCCCTCCTCTCACCTCTTGAACACTACCCCACACGCCTCCACCCACCTCTTGAACACTACTTACTTTACTACCTACCTCTTGAACAATACCCCTTACCTAACCTCCCATCTCTTGACCACTACCCCCTTACCCCATCCCCCCTCTTGAAAACTACCTCCTACCTCACCACGCACTTTTTGAACACTTCCCCCAACCCTTTCACCCACCTCTTGAACAATACCCCGTACCCCTTCACCCAACTCTTGAACACTACCCCCTACCCCTCAACCCACCTCTTGAGCTTTATAATCCCCCCCCCCCCATCCCTTAGCAAACTTTTTTGAATACTACCCCCTACCCCTCCTCCCACCTCTTGAAGACTTCCTCGTACCCCACCACCCACTTCTTGAACACTACCCCCTACCCTATCCCTGTGGTGCCAGTTTTCAGGAAGGGAGATGGATAAGTTGCGTCAAACTGCCGGCCAATTGGCTTGGCGTCTATTGAGGGAGAGTTGCTTGGGTCGATGGTTGCATTCGTCTTCGTCTTAAAAAAACATAAATTCATAAATGATTCACAACATGGTGTTACAAATGGCCGTTCATGTTTAAAAATTTGCTATCAATTTATTCCAGCGTAGTTGAGGCAGTTGAAAGTGGTAAGGTTTGTGATGTTGTGTACCTTGACTTTAGCAAAGCTTTTGATACAGTGCCACTTAAAAGACTGATTAAGAAGATAGAGGCGCATGGTATTGGGGTTCTGTATTAAGCTGGATTAGGGCATGGCTACACCAAAGGAAACAAAGAGTTAGTATAAATGGGGTTAAGTCGGAGTGGGAAAATGTTGTAAGTGGAGTGCGTCAAGGCTCTGTTCTAGGACCTCTATTATTCATCTATATAAATAAAAATGTAAAATGTAAATTGGTCAAAATCGCTAATCTCCGAAAGTTCTTCACCGATTACTTCACCGATGAAATTTTCACACAACGTTACATTCACATCCGAGCGGGTTTTCATATACATACAATATAGATGTCACGTTTGTGACGGGAAAAAACATGCTTCTTTGAAAAACTGTGTTTTTCATGTGAGGGAAATTTTGAGACTTTGAAATTTTGACTCAACATTCCATTCAAATACACGCATGTTTTTATATACCTTCTGTATAGATGACACACCTGTGACAGGTAAAAATATTGTTTTTTTAACAAAAAAAAACAGCTCCATCTGTTGCACATAATAACAACACACGCTGTAATAAAAATGTTACGATTCCAATTCAATGTTTCCGATTGCATTGATAAATTAAATTTTCATAGATTTCGATATTTTTTCATTTTGATTTAATTATTTTGTGAGACATTGCATTGGAATTGAGCTGTGTTGTTTATCATACCGTTCATTTCGTATAAGTATAGATGCCATTAGATTACCTATGACAGGTAAATACATTCTTTTTTTAAGAAACAGCGCCATCTGTTACAACACACGCTATACTAAATATGTTGCGATTCCATTTCAATATTTCCCATTGCATTGGCAAATTGAATTTTCACAGATTTCGATTTTTTTCTTTTTTATTTAATTATTTTGTGATATTGAGTTTAAATTGAGCTGTGTTGTTTACCATACCGTTCATTTCATGAATATAAGTATTGATGCCACACCTGTGATAGGTAAAAACAAGTTTTTTCTGAAAAACAAACCATCTGTTGCACGAAAGAGCAACACACGCTATACTAAATATATTACAATTCCATTTCAATGTTTCTGATTTCACTAATACTGAATTTTCATAGATTTCAATCTTTTTTCATTTTGATTTAACTATATTGTGTGACATTGTGATGGAATTGAGCTCTGTTGTTTACCATACCATTCATTTTGTGAGTATAGTTTATTTTTTTATTTTTTCAATTTTTCATTTCGTTTTTTTAACTGTTTTTCTTATATTTCAGTGATGGGAACATCAAGTCATTTGATGTTCCAAATTTTCTGATGGGAACGTCCGATCATTTGGGAAGGCATCAGAGAAGGCAGTGGGGAATTATGGGGAGGACGTGGGGACGGTAGTGGGGGATGGTGGGGAGAACAAACTCATTATGTCCACGCATAATGGGCTTGCCGAAAAAGTCTCCCAGTCAAACTATCACTAATAGAGTAACCTCATTCATCTTTGCCAACATACAAGGACTGAAAACAAGAACAAACAACAAAGTACAGTTCATAAACGGCCTCCTCACGGAGTCAAATGCAGTATTTGGAGCTTTCACAGAAACCCATGCAGGGAAATTCTTAGACAGTGAGATCTAGGGCCAGATTCACGAAGCAGTTACGCAAGCACTTACGAACGTTTACATCTTTCCTCAATCTTTGTCGGCTTTGGTTACATTTATTAAGCAGTTTACAAGCATGAAAACTTGCCAATCAACTGTTGTTATTGTTATAAACAGCCTCTGGTGCTTTGGAGCTCATTAACTGTTTAATAATTGGAAATAAGGCCGCCAAAGATTGAGAAAAGATGTACACGTTCGTAAGTGTTTGTGTAAGTGCTTTCGTGAATCTGGCCCCTGGTTTCCAGGATATAACCTATACAGGTGTGATTGGAAAATTAGGTCACATGGAGGAGTGGGTCTGTATATTAGGGAAGACCTTGTATGTTCGGAGCTCCTAAACGTTACAAATGAGGTGGTAGAGGTACTGGGATTAAAAATAGAGAAAATAAATTTAGTGATTATTCTAATATACAAACCCCCAGATGCAACGGCTGAGAAATTCACAGAACAGATAAACAAAATAGAGAATAGCCTTGATAATTTGGAGAACCCGATACCTGATATTATCTTCCTAGGTGACTTCAACTTGCCTAGTCTCAGGTGGAGAATTGCAAACAATAATATTATACCAGGAAATCTATCAGGACCTAACCAACCACAGATTAGAGAACTACTTAGATTCTTTGAAAAAATTTCACTCAATCAGTAGATATCGGAGCCAACGAGAAATGAAAATATTCTAGATCTGGTCTTTACGAACAATGAAGACATTATCAGAGACATTACGATATCAGATACCACATACTCAGATCACAAGCTCATGGAAGTGCAAACGACCATCAATACTCAGAATAGAACCTAAAACGTTGATAAAGCGAGAGGGGTATTCAGTAAATTCAATTTCAAGAATAAAAGGATAGACTGAGAGATAATAAACAGGGAACTTACAAACATTCCATGGGAAACTGTTCTAAGTAATACAAGTCCTACAGAAGGAATAGAAAAACTGACTTCGGAAGCGTATCAAGTCTGTCTGAAACATGTTCCTTTGAGGAAAGCCAGAAAGAGATCCAACGTAGAAAGAGAACGCAGACGACACTATAAACGCAGGAAAAAAATAACCGAACTTCTTATGCAGACACGAATTTCCCGTCAAAGAAGAAATAATTTAAATAGGGAGATTGAAGAAATCGAGCGGAAATTGAAACACTCATATGAAACTGAAGAAAGGCAGTTAGAACAGAAAGCAATTCAGGAAATAAAGAAAAATCCAAAATATTTCTTCACATATGCGAAATCAAAAGCAAAAACCACTGCCAGTATTGGACCTATTCGTACAAGTGAAGGTTCATACACGGAGGATGACAAAGAAATTAGTGAAATCCTAAAAAGCAGTATGAGGACATGTTTAGCACTCCAATAAATAACATGAAGGTGGAAGATCCAGACAATTTGACGACCTAACGTTTAAGGAGCATAACCAAGCAAATATTGCGACAGCCAGAAAAATGATAGGATGAATTACGAGAACTTTCAAATCCAGGGATCCCATCACAATGGTTGTACTCTTCAAGTGACTTGTGTTGTCCCGTCTTGAGTACTGCTCAGTACTCACTTCCCCCTTCAGAGCAGGAGAGATTGCTGAAACAGAGGGAATACAGAGAACATATACGGCACGCATAGACGCGATAAAGCACCTAAATTATTGGGATCGTCTCAAAGCCCTGCAAACGTACTCACTAGAAAGAAGGCGAGAGAGATATCCAATAATATACACCTGGAAGATACTGGAGGGCCAAGTACCAAATCTACACAGTAAAATAACAATGTACTGGAGTGAACGATATGGAAGAAAATGCAGAATAGAACCAGTGAAGAGCAGAGGTGCCATAGGCACAATCAGAGAACACTGTATAAACATCAGAGGTCCCCGGTTGTTCAACGTCCTCCCAGCAAGCATAAGAATTATTGCCGGAACATCCGTGGACATTTTCAAGAGGAAACTAGATTTATTCCTCCAAGGAGTGCCGGACCAATCGGGCTGTGGTGGGTATGTGGCCCTGCGGGCCGCTCCAAGCAACAGCCTAGTGGACCAAACTCTCACAAGTCAAGCCTGGCCTCGGGCCGGGCTTGGGGAGTAGAACAACTCCCAGAACCCCATCAACCAGGTATCAACCAATGATGCAAAAATCGGGAGGGAAATAAGTACAGAAAAAGACTCTCTATCACTTCAAGACGATCTAAGGACTTTGAAATGGTCAAAAGATTGGCACATTCAATTTGATGCTTACAAATGAAAGGTTTTGAGGCTAGGTAATGATGATAGAGTTACAAGATACGAGCTAGTTGTTGTTGAGATTGCAAAGTCGGATTGCGAAAGGGGACTTGGAGTCCCCTTGAATTTAGTAAGAATTTAAAACTAAAAAATCAATGCATAAATGTTTGTAATAATGCAAATATGACACTGGGATTTATTAATCAAAGCGTTAGTAACAAGACACCTGGTGATGTTCTTCATCTATAGCTTGCTCTGGTTAGGCCCCATTTAGATTATGCAGTTTAGTTTTGGTCGCCGTACTATAGAATAGATATAAATTCCCTAGAACGTTTCCACCTTAAGATGATAAAGTTAATCCCGCAAATTAGAAACCTGTCATATGAAGAGGGATTGACAAAGCTTAAATTACATTCGCTGCAAAGGCAAAAAGAGCTAGGCTTGACATGATAGAGGTGTATAAGTTCCTGAATGGATAAGAAGAACATAAGAATAAAGGTAACTGCAACAGCACTATTGGACTTCCAATCCCACTCATATACATGTTCAACCCACGCTTGAAACATCAAAGGACCCCACATTCACAGCGCCATGTGGCAAGTGGTTCCACAAATCAACAACCCTGTTACTGAACCAGTATACCCAGGTCTTTGAATTTATACCCAATGGGTATAAACTTATCCAGTTTATACCCATTGTTTCGTGTTCTGTCTTGTGTTGATACTTTTAATACCCTATTAATATTATGTTTTGTTCCCTTTGTTATCACCATTCATCCATTTGTTACCCTCTATCATATCACCCCGAACTCTTCGCCTTTCCTGTTAATGCAATTTAAGGTTTGTTAATCTTTCATCATATGACAGGTTTCTAATTTGTGGGATTAACTTTGTCATCCTATGCTGGATACGTTCAAGTGAATTTATATCCATTCTTATATAGAACAAAGGTTAGGGAAAGAATAGGTCCATTGAAAACTGCGACAGCTCAGATATCTGATAATGATGAAGAGATGAGTAATATTTTTAATAAATATTTTATCTCTGTATTTACTAAAGAAAAACTTAACGCTATGCCTTCAGCCGAACATGTCTATGTGGAGGACAGGTTGACTAGTTTAACAGTTACCAGGGATGATGTTATAAAACAAATAGTGAAACTCAAACCAAACAAATTCCAAGAGCCGGACGAAGTGTTTGCCAGGGTGCTTAAAGAATGCAAAGAGGAGCTTTGTGAGTAACTCTACCATATTTAATCAATCATTAGAGTCAGGCAGAGTGCCAGAGTCGTGAAAGGTTGCAAATGTGGAACCAATTTTTAAGAAAGAAGATAGATCACTTGTGTCAAACTATCGGCCAATTAGCCTAACGTCTAATGTGGGAAACTTACTAGAATCGATAACTGCTAATAACATTTGTTTTCATCCTGAAAAACATAAATTAATAAATAATTCACAAAATAGTTTTACAAATGGCCGTTCACGTTTAACAAATTTGTTATCATTTTATTCGAGCATAGTTGAGGAAGTTGATAGTTTAAATTGGTATAAATTAAGTTTAGATTTAGGAAAGACATGGGTAAATACTTGTTCGGTAACAGGGTTGTTGATTTTTGGAACCAATTACCAAGTAACTTGGTGGAGGTGGGGTCCCTCGATTGTTTTAAACGTGGGTTGGATATGTATATGAGTAGGATTGTGTGGTTATAAATAGAAGCTGCCTCGTATGGGCCAATAGGCTTTCTGCATTTACCTTTATTTTTATATTCTTATATTCTAAATGGGGCCTAACCAGAGCAAGATATAGCTGGAGAACAACACCAGGTGTTTTATTACTATCGCTTCGATTAATAAATCCCATTGTCCAATTTGCCTTATTACGAACATTTATGCATTGATTTTCTGGTTTTAAATTCTTACTAATCATAACTCCGAGATCCCTTTCGGAATTTGACTTCACAATCTCAACACAATCTAGCTTGTATCTTGTAACTTTATCATCATTACCTAGCCTCAAAACCTTACAATAGTAAGCATTAAATTGAATCTGCCAATCTTTTGACCATTTCAAAACCCTATTTAGATCGTCTTGAAGTGATAGTGAATCATTTTCCGTGTGTACTACCCTCCCGATTTTTGTATCATCGACAAATTTGCAAATATTGCTGCTCAAGCCTAAATCTAAATCATTTATATATATTTCGAATAGCAGAGGTCTCAGAACAGAGCCTTGAGCACTCCACTTACAACATTTTTCCCCTCTGACTTAACCCCATTTATATTAACTCTGTTTCCTTTGGTACAGCCATGCCCTAATCCAATTAAATATAGAACCCCCAATACCATGAGCCTTTATCTTTTTAATCAGTCTTTTATGTGGCACTGTATCAAAAGCTTTGCTAAAGTCATGGTACACAACATCACAAACCTTATCACTTTCAACTGCCTCAACTATGCTATCTTGAGGTTATCTTGAGATGATTTCGGGGCTTTTTAGTGTCCCCGCGGCCCGGTCCTCGACCAGGCCTCCACCCCCAGGAAGCAGCCCGTGACAGCTGACTAACTCCCAGGTACCTATTTACTGCTAGGTAACAGGGGCATTCAGGGTGAAAGAAACTTTGCCCATTTGTTTCTGCCTCATGCGGGAATCGAACCCGCGCCACAGAATTACGAGTCCTGCGCGCTATCCACCAGGCTACGAGGCCCCGCGGAGCTGCTGCTGCTATTCCACTGCTGGAATAAAATGATAGCAAATTTGTTAAACATGAACAGCCATTTGTAAATCCATGTTGTGAATCATTTATGAATTTATGTTTTTTAAGACGAAGACGAATGGTATTTGCAATTATTGATTCAAGTAATTTACCACCTCTTGAACACTACCCACCGACCCCATCCCCCCTCTTGAACACTACCCCCTACCCCATCCCCCCTATTGACCTCTACGCCCTCATTACCCCTCTTGAACACTTCCCCCCACCCCATCCCCCCTATTGACCTCTACCCCCTACCTCATTACCCCTCTTGAACACTACCCCCTACCCCATCCCTCCTATGGAAAACTACCCCTTGTATTGCAGGTCCTTATCCCTCCCAAGTTCTTCATTGTCATATTTTGTTTGCGCTTTCTCCTGATTATTAGCTTTCCTGCCACCACGCATCACCACCCATCTCTCAAACTCTACCCTCTCCCCATCACTGCTTCTCTATCAAACACTGCCCCTCCCCATCCGTTGCCTCTCACACACTGCCCCTTCCCCATCCCTGCCTCTCAAACACTGCCCCCTACCCATCCCTGACTCTCCCACACTGCCCCCCCCCCATTACTGCCTCTCAAACACTGCCCCCTCCCCATCCCTGCCTCTCATACACTGCCCCCTCCCCATCCCTGCCTCTCAAACACTGCCCCCTTCCCATCCCTGCCTCTCAAACACTGCCCCCGTCCCCATCCCTGCCTAAACAAGGAGCCGGTCGGCCGAGCGGACAGCACACTGGACTTGTGATCCTGTGGTCCCGGGTTCGATCCCGGGCGCTGGCGAGAAACAATGGGCAGAGTTTCTTTCACCCTATGCCACTGTTACCTAGCAGTAAAATAGGTACCTGGGTGTTAGTCAGCTGTCACGGGCTGCTTCCTGGGGGTGGAGGCCTGGTCGAGGATCGGGCCGCGGGGACACTATAGCCCCGAAATCATCTCAAGATAACCTCCCCATCACTCCCTCTCAAACACTGCCCCCTCCCCATCCCTGCCTCTCAAACACTGCCCCCCTCCTCATCCCTGCCTCTCAAACACTGCCCCCCTCCCCATCCCTGCCTCTCTAACACTGCCCCCCGCCCCATACCTGCCTCTCAAACACTGCCCCCCGCCCCATACCTGCCTCTCAAACACTGCCCCCCGCCCCATACCTGCCTCTCAAACACTGCCCCCTCCCCATCACTCCCTCTCAAACACTGCCCCCCTCCCCATCCCTGCCTCTCAAACACTGCCCCCCTCCACATCCCTGCCTCTCAAACACTGCCCCCCTCCCCATCCCTGCCTCTCAAACACTGCCCCCCTCCCCATACCTGCCTCTCAAACACTGCCCCCCGCCCCATACCTGCCTCTCAAACACTGCCCCCCTCCCCATCACTCCCTCTCAAACACTGCCCCCCTCCCCATCCCTGCCTCTCAAACACTGCCCCCCTCCCCATCCCTGCCTCTCAACACTGCCCCCCTCCACATCCCTGCCTCTCAAACACTGCCCCCCTCCCCATCCCTGCCTCTCAAACACTGCCCCCCGCCCCATACCTGCCTCTCAAACACTGCCCCCCTCCCCATCCCTGCCTCTCAAACACTGCCCCCCTCCACATCCCTGCCTATCAAACACTGACACCTCCCTCTCTCTCAAAGACTACCCCTTTCCCCCACCACTACCTACCCCTCAAATACTGCCTCGTCCCAACCACTACTCTATCTCCTAAACACTACTCCTCCCATCACCACCCATCTCCCAAACTCTCCCCCCAAACCCTATCACTATCGCCATTCTCTACCCCAAGCCAGCTCTCGACCATTACCGCCATCCTTTATTTAGAGCATTTCCGCTTATGGAGTCACCAAACCAGGACACAATAACATTTCCAACCTTGTCGTTTCCTGCGGAGCAGACTGTTGTGAGAGGCATGGAGCTCCTGGTCGCAGGCGCCCACGGGAACATAAGTGGAGGGGCTGGCTGTCCTGGGGGCCTCAGTTGTCTTGAGGGGCCCATCAACCTCGTTGCTGGCAAATGGCCACGGGAACGCGGTGGGGCTTTCAAGTCTGGAAATGTAGGTGATGTTACAAGGTAAGTAATTCTTCAGGAGTCAGAGAGAGAGAGAGAGAGAGAGAGAGAGAGAGAGAGAGAGAGAGAGAGAGAGAGAGAGAGAGAGAGAGAGAGAGAGAGAGAGAGAGAGAGAGAGAGAGAGAGAGAGAGAGAGAGAGAGAGAGAGAGAGAGAGAGAGAGAGAGGGAGAGAGGGAGAGAGAGAGAGAGAGAGAGAGAGAGAGAGAGAGAGAGAGAGGGAGAGAGAGAGAGAGAGAGAGAGAGAGAGAGAGGGAGAGAGAGGGAGAGAGGGAGAGAGAGAGAGAGAGAGAGAGAGAGAGAGAGAGAGAGAGAGAGAGAGAGAGAGAGAGAGAGAGAGAGAGAGAGAGAGAGAGAGAGAGAGAGAGAATTACAGCACGAGATGTTACTAGGAACCAGGTTATTATACCAGGTTACTAGGTTAGGTTATTATAACCGGGCTGACAGCAAGCTGCTGGTCTCTGATCCACTAAAAATTTGAACAATTCTCATTAAGCGCGATTCTTCATATTTTTGTATACATTCATAATTTTTTAATCTGAATATTAATAAAAGATATTAAAAACTTTAAAATATAAAATATATAATAATATATTAACGTCCTTAGGTATACAGAATATATAAATATCTTATTTCAAAATTCTGATTTTGAAATAAGTAACTGGAATTTGGAGAGAGAAGCATCCTAATGTCATGCATTTTTTTCTTGTAGGATAATGGAAAAATATGTATGGGTAAGTAATGAAAGTTACTATTAATGGTCTCGAGCTAAATATTTCGAATAAATATATTTCGATGTGTTCATTCCACATGCTCCAAAACCCTTTTGATCTAAGATTTGCTTATGCTCAACAAGGTTTGTCATTTTATTAGGCAATATCAACGAGCAGATAAATTTTGGAAATAAGGGAAATATGTTAGCAAAAACAAATTTTCGTAAAATTCTATTGTGAAAAACGTCCTTTAGTGCAAGATTCCTTTATCAGAAAGAAACTGAAATATGGCACAAGACGTGTGCCGCCTTCACAAGGCTAACCATTCATGAGTTCACTCTTGGCTATCTGTCTATCTATATAAATAAAAATGAAAATGTTCGTTTGTTCAAAATTGCTAATCTCCGAAAGATCTTCACCAATTGCTTTGAAATTTTCACACAACGTTCCATTCGCATCCGAGCAGGTTTTTATATAAATACTATACAGATGTCACGTCTGTGACGGTAAAAAAAAAACATGTTTTTTATTAAAAACTGTTTTTCATGTTTTTCATGTGAGGGAAATCTTCGAAACCTCTTTACCGATTGCTTTAAAATTTTGACACAACGTTGCCTCTGAATAGGCGCGTCATTTTATATATCTACTTTATACATGCCTCACCTGTGACAGGGAAAAACATGCGATTTTTTAAAAACAGTGCCATCTGTTAGTCGTAAGAGCAACACACGGTGTAATCTCCTACAGCTCTTCAACAATTGCTTTGAAATTTTAACACAACGTTGCATTTGAATAGGCGCGTTTTTTTATATGCCTACTATATAGATGCCACCACTGTGACAGGTAAAAATTTGCGTTTTTGAAAAACAGCGACATCTGTTGCACATAATGGCAACATGCAAGCTATATTAAATATGTCACGAATTCCATTTCGATGTTTCCGATTGCATTGATAAATTTTATTTTCATAGATTTCAATTTATTTTCTTTTTAAGTAAATTATCTTGTGTGATATTGTGTTGGAATTGAGATGTGGTGTTGTACCATACCGTTCATTTCGTAAGTATAAGTATAGATGACACACCTGTGACATGTAAAACTATGCTTTAAAAAAAAAAAACAGCTCCATCTGTTGCATGTAACAGCAACACACATGCTATACTAAATATGTTACAATTTCATTTCAATGTTTCTGATTGCATTGATAAATTGAATTTTCATAGATTTTGATTTATTTTCATTTTGATTTAACTATTTTGTGTGAATTGCGTTGGAATTGAGCTGTTTTGTTTACTAGACCATTCATTACATGACTATAGTTCATTTTTATATTTTTTCAGATTTTCATTTCATTTTTTAACCGTTTTTCTTATATTTCAGTGATGGGAACATTAGATCATTTTGATGTTCCCAGTTTTCTGATGGGATCATCATACCATTTGGGAAGGCATTGAACGAGGGAGTGGGGAATAGTGGGGATGACGAGGGGACGGAAGTGAGAGATGATAGAGAGGACGAGGGGACAAGGGAGGGGGTAATGATGGGGAAGGACGAGGGGACGGGGGAGTTTGGGATGGTGGGAACGAGGGGATGGGGAATTGGAGAATGGTGGGGAGGAGCTCCTTCAGGAACTTAAGTGCACATTTACCCCAGGCGCCCAGAGTCTCCGAGCCTATTGGCACGAACCTGTAACAACGTTCTAGGTCCCTGTACTTGTTAGTTTTCTGGGTCTCCCTGAAGGTGGCCGCCCCGCCTCCCTCAACTGCGCTGTAAGGTAGATAGGTATCAGCCAATGTGGATGCACACGTGTAGTCCCACACGACCTGTTTACCTTCCCTCCACGGCTGCAGGGTGACTCCATCTGGGCGTTTTTGGCTGTTGTCAGGCCTGCACAACTGAGGTTCCCTTTGTGCTGGGCACCCAGCTGAAGCCAAACTTCTCTTGATGATGTCATTAACTGCTTCATGTCTGGCAATCTTTCCCTGTGTCTTACGACAGATGAGACCATGGCTCCCGTATTGGTCTGCCCGTGCATGGCCGCAAATTCACCGGTGCTCGGTGGAGATAGGGCCGGCAAGGCGCAGAGCAACACCAATACTTAGGGTCTGACGGTCCAGGCGGGTGCCCAAGGCGGAATTAGGGAATGCCAACAGGAAGTCCCCGGCATGGGGCGCTTGCACAGCTAGAAGACGCGCTTTGTCCTTCCTGGAAGCTGCCTCCAGCAATGATGTGGCGATGTTCTCCACTATGGGGCTATCCCATTTGGACTGTTTGCAGTCATTTGGAAAAGTCGGTCGAGGATGAGAGTTGACAAGAGTGTCCCACTGACCGGCTCCTTCCGCGAATTTGGGATCATGAATCCCAATGGAGTCTCTTAGGTGTTCCGGTAGTATTTCCTTAACTAATTCACCTGTTGCACTGGTCGAGGATAAGAATGCCGGCAATGCTAACTGTGTCGCCTTGCGAATACCTATCCCCCGAGTCTAACTGGGAGCGTTGCTTGGTCCCATTGGTCATCTTGCAGGGAGAGGTTTAACACTTTCACGGTTATTGACCTTAGGAGTGTGTCATATTCTGCTAATTTTGGGCTGTCGAAGGAGGGAGCACACCTTACGAAATAGGTCAGTCTGGGCAAAGCCAGGCACCTTGTGAGAAGGTACAAAGCATCGTGGGCGTCCAAAGCCCCTATTCTTCCCTCCATCCTCCTCAGGTCGTTCAGCTTTTCTCCGAGGACTATCTCATTGGCGCTCGAGCCCAGAGGTGCCCCTAGCAGCACACTGTCGGTGGGAGCGATCACTTGGGCTCCTGGCAATATGATTCGCACTGCATCTATGGTTGGTTGGCTTGATGAGATGATTTCACACTTTAATGGGTGTAGGGTGAGTCCTAACTCCTCTCCCTTAGATTTCACCAGCTGTAGATCTTCTAGCAGGGACTCCTGTGTCCCTGCCAGGGTGCCATCGTCCAGGAACCAGATGTTGAGTTCGCTGGTCAACCTGTTTGTGACCTCTTTAAGGGGGCATATTCATTTAAATTCATGTAAATTTAAAGTGGTTGAATTTGCTTATAAATTTATGTATGAAATGGATATAGAAAGGGCTGCAACTGGTCCAAGTTTCACCATCACACCCTAAACAGAAAAGGAGAAAATAAATACACAACGTATTATGCAACGAATGTTCAACATTCTCAAATAATCTCAGGGAACACATGTGTCAACTAAAATGTCTACTATGTGCTGTAGAAGCACAAACTCTTGTAATAATTGTAATATGTATGTGCAATATATTAATATTTAAATTTTTTTTTTCTTTTTTTTTCTTTTTTTTGGCCAATTTTTTTTTTCGTTTGTTATCAAGGGATTTGCATGAAACTTGCACACCTTGCTCAATGGATGCCTATCTGCAAGGGTGCCAATTATGAACGAAATCTGTTGAAGTCAAGCTCAGCTACAGGTGGCCGAACTTGGATCTTTATTTTACTCTGGAAAGTAATTTACACCTTCAAAGTACTTCAGAGCTTTCATTTATTAATCAATTTACATGCAAATTACACCTTATATGTAGCGTTTGTGCTTCTACAACATGGCGTAGACATTTTAGTCCAAAGTCTATTTGTTGATTTTATAAAAATTTATAAATATCATATATGGCATATTTTTTTGAAGGGTAACTTTGAATAATTATATTATTGCACTAAACCCTTTTTTGATAAAACTGATCACTAGACTCCTTTATTATGTGCTAAATCTAATATCTGAGTGTTATAGAAATGATTTTAGTTGACACATGTGTTTCCTGAAACTATTTGAAAATTCGTTGCATAATTCGTTGTGTATTTTTTTTCTCCTTTTCTGTTTAGGGTGTGATGGTGAAACTTGGACCAGCTGCAGCCCTTTCTATAACCATTTCATAAATAAATTTATAAGCAAATTTAACCACTTGTAATTTTAAGTTAATATGCCCCCTTAACAGCCATGCAAAAAAGAAAAGGGGCAAGTGGGTCTCCCTGCTGGACACCTTCTGCAGAAACAACTTCATGTTCCCCAAACAGCAGCGTCGATTCACTACTGTACCCTGCTGAGACAAAGGGGAGTAGAGAAGGAAAGCTTGTTCGAACTGCTTCCAGTACCACATCCCTTTTTACCTGGTTGAAGGCATTTTTAAAGTCTAATTTAATTAATGCCTTATTTTCTGGGAGGTGCTTGATATAGGCTCGTGCTGCATTAGCTGCTGCTTCACAGCCATGGGGGACACAAAAATCTAGT